GCAACATTTTTAAGTAAATAAAATAATCTCAAGGACCGGAAATACAGGGCTGTCACCATAATAGGTAGGCTGGAAAAGAAGAATCAGTGTGGTGAAAATAGCACTAAAAATAAGAACAGAAATGTGTTTGGCCTATAACATCAGATAATATGCTCTAAAGGATGTATTTATAACAAAAATTTAAGCCTTGAATAGTGCGATAAATAGGAGGATTGAGCCTTTATATATAAAGAATAAAAGTACAAATATTTTGGGAAGTTGTAACAATGTTTTATGGTTTCTCTCTTCAATTTTTTATGAATTTAAAATTCATGTGCTTTTATTTGGTAACATGAGGGGAGATGTCAGTGGAAAGGAAGTTGTATCTCTCCATAGGTTATAAGCAATGGTAAGGTAATAACAGTTTCAGAAGATATAAAGAAATTAAAAAATCCAAATAACTTTTAGTACACAGTAGTACACAATAGTTCCAGAATACTCATATAAAACCTATATGAGTATTCTGGAACTACTGTTCCTTGGCCTTGCTACTTTCTTAGTAAAGGATAGGCATATTCTAAATGAGCTGTCAAATTCTAACTTTGAATAATTAATTCTTTAAAATATAAGACACAACCAGGCGCAGTGATGCACACCTATGATCCCAGTAACTTGGGAGGCTGAGGCAGGAGGATTGCAAGTTCAAAACCAGACTCAGCTACATAGAAAAGTCCTAAGAAACTTCGTGAAACCCTGTCTCTAAATAAAATATAAAAAGGGACTGGGGATGTGACTCAGTGGTTAAGCACTCCTGGTTTCAATCCATGGTACCAAACAAAAACAAAACCCCAAAAAATAAACAAACAAAAAAAGCCACTCCTAAATTGGTCTTAGATTTAGGAAATACATATACTAACTTGAACCATTTTATTTTCATTAGACTACTTAAATGTCTAATAAAATTTATTGGGAATTGTCTTGTAAAGTGATTATCTCCTTGTAAGAATTATTTAAAAGTCTTCATTTATTTGTTTTGTGCATCTACAATATGAGTGCTTTTGTTTAACATAGAATACATAGATTTTCTTAACATATGACATGGTTGAAAAATAATAAGTTGGTATCGTCCAGTTATTAGTTAGTCCTTATAATGTGCTGACTATACTGAATTAGTTTATGGTAATAATTGTGTTTCCTAAGTGCTCTATAAGTTATTCTACCTTTCAAAACAGGAGTTGCTTTCTGTATTCTGTTGATAGTCAGGGTAGTCACCTTAGAGAAGACAGAACAGAAGAATCTAATGTTTAATTTATAAATGCAGGAGACGTTAATAACTGCTTTGCAATTTTTTTTTTTTTTTTTTTTTTTGGTGTTGGGGATGGAGCTCATGGCTTTGTGCTTGCTAAGCACACAATTGGCCACTGAACTCAACCTTAGGCCATAAGTAAGAGATTTAAATCTTTGGACTATTCCTCTGGCTTGATCTGTTGTCTTATCGGCAGCAACAACAGGAGTTGTGTATGACAATTTTTCAATTGCTGAACCCCAGCAGTAGTCTGAGGCAGAACTCTGTTGCTTTTGTGAGTTTAATAAACTTTCACATATAGAGTTAACAGTCCATCCAGTCACACAGCCCAGTTGGAAGCCAGAGATCAGCAGCTGTGTTAGTTTTCCCATGGAGCTATCATAGCACAACTACTCACCACCTTTTGTTTTTAATAAGGGGCAAACATTCATGTCCTTTTTAATGAGCTGGAGCTGTCCAGTGGGTTCAGCTCAGCCATCATTAGAGTACTAAGAGTTTAATTTGTTTCAGTTCAGGTAATATATATTTCTTAAATACGTATATGCAAATAACTTTGGGGGCAATGGTATTCGGCCAAATGCTAAATTCTTTCGATAAGTGCCAACAGTGAACCTGTTGGGAATAAAAGAGTCCTCCACAAACAACTGCTGCTGCTGCTGCTGCTGCTACTGCTACTACTACTACTACTTGTTGTTGTTGTTATTATTATTATTATTATTATTTTGGCACTGGAGATTGAAACCAGATCACTGAGCCACATTCCCAGGTCTTTTTATTTTTATTTATTTATTTTTGGTACTTGGGGGTTGAACTCAGGGGCACTCAATCACTGAGCTACATCCCCAGCCCTATTTTGTATTTTATTTAGGGACAGGGTCTCACCAAGTTGCTTAGGGCCTTTCTCTTGCTGAGGCTGACTTTGAACTCTTGATCCTCCTGTCTCAGCCTCCTGAGCTGCTGGACTTACAGGTGTGTACCACTGAGCCCAGTCTAGTTGCTTTTAAATGGGAAGCAGATAGGCATCTTTCCAAAATCTCTAGTAGGTTCTTTCCTTAGCATGGGAGTGAGTTTTTTGACTTCCCCAGATGGATCTTGGTTTCAATCAGGCTTTATGATCTGCTACTGTGTTTCCATCAGGGGAACTTTGAGGGTCTTGGGAAGTGTTGTTCTCTAGTTTGGTAGCTGTGCTACAAAATTATTTGTGTTCTTTGTATTATAGAAACTTAACTTTTAACTGTAAGGTCATTTTTCTATCAGTCAACTGACTGCCTCATCCTGCTGCTCAAGCACTGGGATAGATGGTGAGCAGGTAATTTTTTCTTCTACTCTTTCTCCATCACTTTAGTACACATTGACATTTCTCTTAATAATGGATTCACTGTATTATCTTCCTCATTTAATGTGAAAACTAAATTCACAGATGTTAGTCGTGCTTTCGGACATATTTCATCATTGACACATAAAAATAGAAACCTAATAAAAATGATAGCACAATTGTACCCATGTTAAAAGATTAAGAAAAAAAATGTATAGTACATGAAATATGGCACTTTCTCTTGAACAAAGAGCTGTTTACTTATGACTGTGGACATCAGAAGGATTGCATCATGTGTACTACAGTGAAGTGGGAGGAGGGTTATCTGAAACACAGAAGATTGAAACACCCAACGTGGAAGGAGGTAGCCTGTGGTTCTCAGTTTGGTATTGGCACCAAACATCCACAGTTGAGTGATCTTCTATAGCCTGAAATCTCAGAGTTTTTTTTTTTTTTTTTTTTTTTTTTTTTTTAGTCTTTGAGACATGGATCCTTTGGGGCATTTGTTTATAGTATGGACCTTTTTCATCAAAATTTAAAGTTTGACCCAATTAATAGTTGTATTCTTCAATTAACTTCTACGTAGCAACTGGACACTTTTTGATAGCTTTCTGGGTAGCTAATCTTAGAAGCTGTAGGTATGTTGTAGATGATTAGAGCAGCCAATGCCAGCGCTCAGAGGAGCCACTTCTGCAGGATTTGGTGATTTCTGATCAGTGTTTGCATATAGACAGTGTTTTCCTTTTATTATGCACTGCTTGGCATTTTGAACCAGGATGCTTAGACAAGCTTGGGGTGTTGAATGAGTGTTTCTTTATACAGAAAAGTTCTCAAGTTGCAAGAAGAGCAAAACACAACCTTTTAGGATGATAATACTCAATGAATGGAAGTAACTCTTAGATGTTTGAAGTATGTGTGTGTGTTTTGTGTGTTCCCACCCATCTTGGTTCTGTGGGATACAGTTTTCTACGTTCATCTAGCATTTCTTGCAGACAAAATCATGCGTAAGCAAATGTGAAATTTGAGTTATGTTCAGTTGTTCCTTAATATATCAATTATGTTGGAATAATTTGTGTTTTCAAAGCAAGTTATAGCAGAACTGACTGCACTCTAAATCTGATAAACACACTTATTTTAATGAAATCGGTTTTTAATTTCTCCTTTCTTTTCTCTCTCTCTTTTTAATCCAGTACTGGGAATCAAACCCAGGGCCTCACAAATGTTAGACAAGCACTCTGTCACTGAGCTACATCCCCAGCCCTGAGCAACACATTAATTGTAAGGCATGACCAGGACTAGGTGGTACAGATCCATAATCCTTATCTGTGATTTTAAAATCTATAAAACTTTGAGAACTGAAAGTTTTTTGTTTTAGTTTTTGTTTTTTAGTTAGATAAAACTTGATTCAACTGAGATTCATTTGTCACCAAGCTGGCTTGAACTGGTATGAGGCTCTTTATGTTATTTGGTGTAGCTGTTTATATATTTTGCTGCAGAGATATTATTGCAGTTGATAGCTAAATACCACCCCAGACACCACTGGAGGTTTACATAATGTATGGTATATGCAACCTTTATTTTATTGTTATTGTTGTTGTTTTTCTGGTACTGGGGATTAAACCCTGAGTTCAGTCCTTGCTTGTGCTTTGCCACTGGGCTTCATCCCCAGCCTTTGTAAAATACTTTTATATTGAGGGTTGGGGATCTAGCTCAGTGGTCAAAAGTACATGACCCATTTTAGGTAATTCATCATATTTTCATTTTAATAAGGATCTTCAGCATCTTCTAACATTTAGTAGGGACCACTGTAAGAAGTCTGGTGGGGAGAATGACATGACTTTCCAGTTCTTTCTTGGCTGAAACTGGCTTCTTTGGCTCCAACACACCATATTTTTATTCTCTTCCTACTTTAGCATCTTCCCCTTAGAATTAGTCAAATGTTTCTTTTCCCTTGTGCATCTCTAAAATTGGTGCTTATGAAAGTGTGGTCCACGCCACATCTGCATCACAATCATCCAGGGATCTTGTTCAAAATGCATCAGGCAAGATTTTACAAACTAGAGGAAAGAATATATACTTTTACTAATTGACACTAGCTGGGCAGGGTAGTGTGCATCTGTAGTGCCAGCTACTTGAGTTTGAGGTGGAGGATCACTTAAGCCCAGGAGTTTGAGACCAGCATAGACAACATAACAAGAACCCATCTCAAAAAACAAAATACTAATTTACTCCATGACTTGGATGAACATCAAAGTTTGGATTCCATTGATTTCCCCCCCCCCCCAAGTATTGGAGATTGAATGCAGGGATACTCTACCACTTATTTCATGAAGGGAAACAATCACCCCAGGTTTCTAAACCCCAAACCTTAGTTCATCTTTGATTATTTTTCCCACTTACTTCCAAATTCCATACCGTATCTCCATATTTGAAATAAATCTCCAACTTTGCACTCTCTCCTTCGCTTAGCCTAAGCTGCCTTCACCTTCTGTCTAGATGCTGTAGCACTATGCTCTTCCCAATCCACACTGTCCGCATTGAGTCCACTTTCCACAATGAAACCTGATGGATCTTTCTAAAAAAGCAAATCAGAATATGTCAGTATCCTGCTTTAAAACATTGGAAAGCTTTCAGTATATTTGCTAATGCCCAAAATCCATATCGAGGCTTGCAAAGCTCTGCTTCATTCTCTATCCTCCTCAGTATGGACCCACACCCTGTGATACCCTGCCTCCCTCCCTCCTCCATCTTATTAATGCACTCCTAGAACACACTTCCCTATCAGAGTATCCATCAGACTGTATGTAATTACGAGCTTAATTATTCACCTCCTCCATCACCAGACCCTAAACTCCATGGTGGCAAGACCTTGACTGTCTTGTTTATTGTTGAACAATCCCACGAAAGGCACTCAATTAATATCTGATGAACAAATGAACGAATGACTTACTTTGGCATGTGTAGATGTGAGGGCAGGGGTGGGGCATTTCCTGCTTCTCAAGCAAGACCAGTGAGGATGGTTGGCTGGCCAATTCAATTTAGTTCAAGACAACTCAGTCTAGCAAACAGTTATTATTGAGCATTTATTATGCTCTATTGGGCATGTCACAAAGTTGGAGAAGACAAGGCCTTTGCCCTCAGCGACGGTTGCCCTAACTTAACCTGTCACCGGCTGGCATCCTGCTGTTCATAGACAGATGGCTTAAAATCAGAGTGCCACCGATGCCCGGACGTCAGGAACCGCATGATGCCTCTCCACTACCCCCTTGGAGTCCTGCCTGCCCTTGCTTCAGGTGTTTGCCTAAATTATGCCTGAGTTTGCCACATTCATTATTATTAGAAAAGAGCTGTAATGACTGGATTCTTTAAAGGGGACATTCCAGTCCCCCACTGCCATGTGCCCTTGGCCACTGGGAAACAAGCAATTTCCACATACAATTGCATTTATCGTAGAAGGTGTAGCAGAGTAGGATTTAGGCAGATATTTAATAACCAACTGACCTTGGGCAAGTCTTGATTATATCCTATTTGAATAGAATAATAAGTCATAGCATAGATTTTTGTGAGTTTAATTACATTGAAAATAATAATAGCTAAGATTTATAGCATACTTACCTTTTTTTGCATTGTGAACAGTTTTATTACAATGAACTGTTAATCAACCTATGAACTCTGCAATGAAGTATTTTTTAAAAACATGTAAAAATTTTAGTTGACATAATAATCGACATAATTTTTAGTTGACACGATAATGTCAATACATGTATGTGCACAATTATCAGATCAGGGTAATTGCTGTACATATTATCTTAATATTATTGATTTTTTTTTGTGTGTGTGTGTATGTTGGGAACATGCAAAATCCTCAGTACTAGTTATTTGAAAATATATAAACTTTTCACCAAATGCACTAATAGTTGTCTTCTATTAATACAAACATGCTGCCCCATCTTTTATCAGTTGTAGAGTATTCCATTGTATGTGTATATATATATATATATATATATATATATATATATATATACACACACACACACACACACACACACACACACACATATTTGAATGAACCAATTACTGCTGATGTATTTTAAGGTTAAAGAGTATTTTAGTTTTTTTAAAGGTGGATGACATGTCCTCTTCTCCCACCCCCATCCCCATTATATTTTGCTTCATTATAGTTGTATGCAATGATGGGATTTGTTGCTGCATATTTATACGTACACACAATATAGCAATATGATTTGGCCAATATCACTCTCCAGCACTTCCCCCCACCTCTCTGGAAATATATAACTAATTGTGGTCAACCATAGTTACCCTACTGTGCTGTAGAACATTCCTTCTATCTAGCTGTACCCCATATCCATTTACCATCCTCTCTCTTCATTCCCTAACCAACTCTTCCCAGCCTCTTCCCATCCAGTAAAGAGTAACCACTCCTTTATTCTCTAATTCTATGAGGTCAACTTTTTTAGCTTCCACATGTAAGTGAGAACATGAGATATTTGTCTTCCTGTACCAGACTCATTTCACTTAATATAATGCCCTCCATACTCATTCATGTTACCACAAATTACAGGATTCATTCTTTTTTTAAAAAAATGTGTTCTTTAGTTGTAGTTGGATACAATACCTTTATTTATTTTTCTGTGATGATGAGGATCGAACCCAGGGTCTCACATGTGCTAGGCTCCACTGCTGAGCCACAACCCCAATCCCAGAATTTCATTTTTTAGGGCTGAATAATATTCTAGTGTGTGTGTGTGTGTGTGTGTGTGTATCTTTCTCTGTATCTCCATCTATCTCACACTTCCTTGATCAATGGATTCATCCATTAGTAAATACAAAGCACATGTATGAAGACATGAATTGGTGTGAATATACTATTTATACAACCAGAGATATGAAAAATTGTGCTCTATATATGTAATAAGAATTGTAATGTATTCTGCTGTAATATATAAATAAAAAAATGTACATTAAAAAATAAACACTGGTCTGGGGATGTGGCTCAAGTGGTAGTGCACTCACCTGGCATGCGTGTGGCCCGGGTTCCATCCTCAGCACCACGTACAAACAAAGATGTTGTGTCTGCCGAGAACTAAAATATAAATATTAAAAATTTTCTCTCTCTCTTTAAAAAAATTAAAATAAATAAATAAAAATAAACACTGAGGCTGATTCCATAGCTTAGCTATTATGAAGAGTGCTGCAATAAATACAGGAGTGTAGATGTCTCTTTGATATATGGATTTCTTTTCCTTGAAATATATACCCAGGAATGGACTAACTCAATCATAAGGTAGTTCTATTTTTAATTTTTTGCTTTTATCTTTGATTTTTTTTTGGGGGGGTACTAGGGATTGAACCCAAGGGCATTTGCCACTGATCCCCCCTTTCCAGTCCTTTTATTTTTAATATGGACACAGGGTCTTGCTAAGTTGCTGAAACTAGCTTCAAACTTGCAACCCATCTGCCTCAGCCTCCTGTGTAGCTAGAATTACAGGCGTCCACCATGCCCAACAATCTATTTCTAGTTTTTGAGGAATTTCCATATTATATAGGGTGCTTAATATATTCTGAGCATTGTCTAGGGACCTATCTCATTAATCTGCATAACAGTTCAATGGGGTAGATAATAAGATTATCTTTCCTGTTGCAAGTATATCTAGTCAGGGTGAGTAACCCTCCCAAGTGAATAGTTAGCAAGGTTTTTTTTTTTTTTTTTTTTTTTTTTTAATTGGTGTATTCTGGCTCCATGGTCCATGCCTTCAATCTCCATGCCACTTCTTTGAGGTTGAGGTAAATTAAAGATATTGGTAAAATTTCTCTTCTGTTATTGAAGAAAAGCCAAAAATCTTACTTAAAAGTTTATCTTATTTTAGTTGAATTTTCTTGTTTCTCAGAACGTAGAAGGACTGTTACAAAAACTTTTCTTATTCCATGGAAAAAGTGGGTATTGTTATAAATACATAGGATTCTTTACACTATTTTCCATTTAGCTTTTTCTGTCCTCTTTACTTATTTATTAACTGTCAAAGGAAGTTGGGTCACATTTCACAGAGGTCCAGCCTTTTTGTAAGTTAAATGGAGTAACTAGGTATATTAGGGGTGTGGAGAACATACTTCCTTCATCAGTCACTTATTAAAGAGCTGGTCAGTTTAGCAGTCAAGATAATTCTTAAGCTTAAATTTTGCTCCATTTAATATATTATTATCTCAATGATATGGCATAAATAAGGTAGTTTTCATCATGATAAGAATTTTAAAATAAGGGCTTACAGGCAAACAGCGAATCCAAAGGAGTGTTATACACCGGGGAATGAAATTGATCAAGTTATACTGTTACAATGTGTACATATATGAATAGGTAGTAACAATTCTCAATGTGAATTATAATGCACCAATAAAAAAGTAGAGGAACTTTACAGTGTACAATGTGGTCGGATGAGAATTACACTATTTTTTCAAAACATTTTATTCATTCACAAATTTACACAGTACGTATTTTATACTAATGATTTTTCAATTCTAGAAAATTTGGAATGCTTCCGGTAGAGTTAGTGATCAAATGTGACTAGCATTCTTTATCCTTTGAAAAATATGCTTTCCCCCTTTTTGTTATATTGGTGCATTATAATTATACGTGATAGTGGGATTTGTTGTTACGTGTCTGTACATGCACACAATATGACAATACAAGTTGGTCAGTTTCACTCCTCAATATTGTAAATGTTCCTAATATTACTTCCATGGGTCCTGAGCTTTCTTTGTACAACTAGGGGGCTCCACTATGATGAGACATATTTAGGAAGATAGATATTTGAATCAAAAGTCCAGTTTATGGCATATAATTGATTTCACGGAGCTCAAATAACCAAATTCCCTAGTAACATCCAGCTCTAGACAACCGAGATCATCTCTGTACATATTTATATTATATTCTACCAAAGAGATTGGGTGTAGTGACAGGAGTATGAGCAAGTGTTACTACTTTAACTTCATAAATAGATGCATGTTTATATATTTATGCCCATTGGAAATAACATTAGAATATAATTTATTATATTTATTGTATTTCCACCCATTAAAAAAGACCAACTTGTGAAGTAGCTATAACATTTAAAGTGGGTAAATATTTTGGTTCATATTTAGGTGTCAACCCATACAGGCACAAGATTTTAAAATTGCGAAAACACATATTCATCAAATAAAAAAATTGCAAATTTAGTGATATTAAACATGAACATTTTAAAGAACTGACATTAAAGGAGCCATTGCCACCTACATACAGCACAGAATGTGGAGAGAACATGCCTCCTATGTATGTAATGGGATGGGATGAATTGTGTTCCCTCAAAATTCACATAAGACCCCCAGTACTTCAGAATGGGACTGTGTTTGGAGGTAGGACCTTTAGAGAGGTAATTAAATTAAAATGAAGTTATTAAGGTGAATCCTAATCCAATATGACTGGTGTCCTCATAAGAAGAGGGGATTAGGACACAGACACACACAGAGGAAAGAACAGGGGCAGATGCAGGGTCATCTACAGGCCAAGAGGGAGGCAAA